CTTTGTAGTTTTAGCTGATACATGAATCGGAGCAAGTATGTGCTATAAATAAATAGCATAAATAGTGTTCGCTATAAACAAACAATAATACATTGAGAAAATAAGCTTGTATAAGGGAGCCTAACTGTTTAAATTTCAACACTTACCAAATTGTCTTCTGTTTCACTATCAGATTTACCTCCGTCAGCCATAATGGGCGCATGTGATGAAACTTGCCTTTTTGCCGCCTTTTTTGTCAAGTCATAATACATAAGACAAAAGTCATAATACATAAGTCATTAGTCATAAGACAAAAGTCCTAAGACAAAATGGCACTTATGGGCTTCCGTAATTAACAAATAAAACCATTAAAAAAACTTGTTAGAGTTGTGCTATTGTATAGTTAAACAATAGTGTTGTGTTACAATTTAATTAGTATTCTTACTATATAACAAGTTGTTTCTATATTTAAGAATCTCACAGCAGGTTTTTGCGAGCAATCTTATCATATGAGTGTCCTGGTGGGCAAATAAGTACATAAACTTTTCATATTTTGACATTGTAGTAAATAAGTCACAAGTATAGTTAGCATAATCTAACAATGGTTTCCTAATGTTGTCATACATAGAACATTCCATTATTACATGTATTTCATTTTCAATACCATTTAGACAAAGTGGACATATCCTTTCATGTTCAGGTAAGTGTTCATATCGACCAGTTTCAAGACGGATAGGTGTAATTCCACCAAGGCTTACTTTTAAACTTTTTTGCATAATTCATAGAGTTAATAACTTTATAGGGAACTTTATTATACATATTTGTTTGGATCAGTTCACACCAACCATCATACACTGTATCAATATCACTTTGTGTTCTCATACCCTGCTCAATATTATTAATAAAAATATTGACTTGTTCTAATGTATCATGATCTAACATAAATTCAGATGGTATTGATTTTAAATCAAATTTTACATATCTGCTTTCATTATCATTTACATGTATACAATCAGCAATAGATGAATTTATTTTCAACCTCCAACATAATAAAGAATGATCTGGTACATTAGTAGCAAAACATGAACTAATATTAAGTCTAGTAAGTAAATCTGATACATGAATAACATTAAATTTTTCAAAATAATCTAAATTATCGTGACTTACTAAACAATAATCCACAACTGAACAACCTTTTGAAGATATTGATGTATAATCATTTACCTCATAGTTTCGACCATTTAACATACAAAAGTTACAGTCAATTAAAAATTGCATTAAAAGCTCACCATATGCATTACTTTTAAAATCAACTACATGCCTATTAGGAATCATATCTACCCCGGCAATGAAATCATCATTATCCCCACATCTACTGTTAAAATCACCGCATATCATGACCAGACCTACATTTTGGTAATCATAAATTCCTTGCAATAATAAGTCATAAAAGTAGTTACCATCGACACAACGTGTTGAATTTTCCGGAGGAAGATAGCACACACATGGACAAAGAGTTAAATCAAAAAATCTATGAGTCATTTACGTTATGTTTCAGTTAGGTCAACTTTTCCAATAAGCGTAATGGTCAGCTTTTCAAATAATTACAATAGGGAAAATAAATTCATCTATTTAAAACAAAAGCGGTTTGACTGCTTATATAAAGAAACGATTCCAGACTCCTGTGGTATGACAAACATCAATTCAAAAATAACAAAATATATTAATTGTTGCGTTAATATCCAAAATGTTACATCTGTGATAGTTGTATTAAAGTTTGTTTGTTTGTTTGTTTGTTTCATTTTACGCCTTTTCCCAACAGTATTTCAGTCATATAGGCGGGTAGTTTCCTAACCATCGTTCCTGGAGAGTTACACCAGTACTAGACTACCTTCCTCCGCGCTAAACTACCAAAGCATCTCCCGGGGATCGAACCCACGCCAGAGAGGTAACTGGATTAGAAGTCATCGACTCTAACCCCTCGACCATTGTAGTAAAGTAAAAATATAATTTTAACACTAAATGGTCAATATAAATCTTTCTTAAAAGTCATAGATTGTTTCAGTCAATCATTTAAAATATCCGAGATTCAACACAAATTTGAAAACATTTCATTTTTATTATTTCTTGTAAAAATCCCAAATGTAAATTGATGTTTACTGTACAGTATGTGTGTAAGTCCAACATTTTGTGTAACTGGTATATTTTGTGTATATCATTGTCTTCATGTACATAATTGGTCATATTTCAAAACACGAAAATTTCATGCTACGGACATTTTGTTATTCAAGAGGCTACCTAAAGGGGTTTGCAAGTAAGAAAAAGATAATTGCTTAAACATTAATATTGTACATTTCCAGCACAAAAATACATTATTTCTAATTTTTCGATAGATAATATGATATTTGATAGCAAAAGTAGTAATTTAAGTAAGATATATAAGCCTCAAACTGACTAATAAGTAAAATATTGATTTCCCTTCGGCGCTACGCGCCTCATGCAATTCAATATTTTACATATTGGACAGTTTTCGGCTTATATCTACTACTTTATGATTATTGAATGCACCATATGTCTGAATTGAAATATAACCAGACTGTTCGTCCATTTTCTGCGTAAAGATGCAGTTTGGTATGTTTCCTAATTGATGTCAGGCGCTAACAATTTGTCGTTAATTGTATTTAAAAAATAAACTTTTTCTTAAGCTTAGGTTGCATTTTACTTTCATTTAAGATCAATTTTTGTTTGAAAAAGAACATTATTCTCGTGTAGAAATATACAATACCCTTATTTACTCTATACGGGAAACGCAATATGCTATTTTAATCAGGAAGATTTTAAAGATGTGATATAGGAACAAAGTAACGCAAAAGATGGAGAACACCAATGTTTAAAAGTTCACAAAATACATTCTAAATAATAAATTGTGAAAAGAAGATCATGTTGATTCTCACTGGAACAACAAAAATGTCTGTCACAAGAGGTTCAAAATGTGAGCGCAAAAAAAGAAGTTGAAAACATTGAGATTTTGACAACGGTTTAAACATAATCCATGTCGCTATTGAACGGTACGAGTTTAAACTGAATAATCCTTTACAGTTCAAAGGTCATTACAAATGTGAAAAGAGATATTAAGCGCTTTTATAATACTCCTCTCTTCGAAGTCATTGTGCGTGAAGTAGGTAGGCTTAATCTTCCCATTTTCTATCCGTACTTTACTACAGCGAAACGGGAAAATCACGTTGCGGTTTTTTTTTGTAGAGGTGAAAAATGGGAGAATTATTACGCTTGTGTCGTGTTTCTTTGTTCTTAACAGTACTTTGTGCTGCTGATATAAGTGAAGGGAACTCTGGTTTAAATACAAATCCATATCATGAAGTGCTGGAATTCTATGATTTACATTCGGAACAGTCATTTACACAGTCATATTTGGAAAAGCTTGTGCATGACTTTGTTGACAGGATACCATGCTTAGAGAACACACAAGACAATGGCAATCGGAGTTGTTCTGATAATATCGTAAGTTATATGACAATATACTGTTTTTTTTTCTAATAATCAATATGTATATACATTTTTTTTTAAATATTTATACCATTACTTTTATTACTGACTAAAATTTATACAAACTGAAAACTTTTTTCTATTGAATGTATTAATTTTTATATCGTACCTCGTACCGACTGTACTAAATATGCCCTAAATTCACCTCTTAATATCTTAAACCAACAGGCTATAATCTGTGACAAGAATAATAACAATGGTTTTGTCTTTAGCTTGGTTGTGCATTTAAAGAAGTCATGCAATATAAATACCAACTGAATGCATTTCCTATATAAAACAACTTATTGCCTTCATAACATAGCGATTTAAAATAGATTTTTTACTACTGAAATATACAATAATACATTATCATTGTCAAAATGCAAAGGAAAAATGCAAAAGATAGTACTGGTAATAAGCAGAAGCAGTTCAACCTTATAAATAAATACTCAAGTTGTTTTAAGTCAACAACAACACGCAACTATACATATAACACAAGGACATGAATCAATATGTTAAAACAGCGGAAAACTTACTCTTGAGATACATTAAACCCATCCAAATGTGAAGTGCATAAAAAAATAAAACATAAATTGAGTCACACACTTTATGGCCCAAACACTAGCAGCAGGAAGTGATGCAAAATACTTGGATGTTAACATCACTTCTGAAAAAACCGTATTTGGTCCACTTCAAACATGTTAAGTTGCGGTGGCGTTCTCGTGGTTACAGTAGGATTATTGCCAGGCAAGTGATGTTTTATAAGATTATCAACGGACTGTATGCAGTATCCATTATGTTTTAACCCCCAACCGTCTCACTAGACACATGCATCCCCATTCTTACAGACCCCATACCATTATTATAACCTCTCTTCTTTATACCTATTTCCCCAGTACATTTCTTCTTTCACAAGGCAAGATCAGAATTCAGGACTTGACACTGTTATCCTGGTAGAATCAATTAGTGATCGTCCTAAGTTTTTACTCAGTTACTAGAAAAAACCTGCGGTAAGGGTTGTAAATAAATTAAAGTTTATTATATGTGTTCTTGGAAGGATGACATTGTCAAAGTTAAGGCTAAGTTGGGCTTATCCGCCTTTTAATGGTTTATTTTTTATTTGCTGTGCCTTATAAATAACATTTTGAAATATGTAAACAACATTTTAAGCCTCATTTATTTTATGATTATTGTAAAACTCTTTTTAATAAGCATTAAAACCGAACAGAACTGATAATGGTTCATAATGGGATATTTTATGTATTGAAAGAACATTATTTCTTCATCCTGGAAATTTCGATGAAAATATTTTAAATGTCACTCATAATGTTTCAAAGTTAAAAAAACACCTGATTGATAAAAGTTATTCAAAATTATAGATACATGTTATAATATTATAATATCATTATTTTTTATTCCCCTGTTGCTTTTTTACACAAGCTACATTTGCAATTAAAAAGTGATATTAGGCAGGTCTCAATTCTAACACTGACTAAGTAAATTTGCATGCAACTAAATTTTGAAATACTCCAAATTAACACATCGACATTTCCCCCTTTTGGACTAAGGAAATCGCCGTGAATTAATGATGCCAGTCTCTTTGAACATATCTCTATCTTTTCGTTCGCCTCTTCGTCTGTCCATTTATCCTAGCCAGGTCAGATCAATGTAATCTTGTCTATATAATATACATGCAGCATTCTTTGTAACAGAACATGGAATTGACAGGTCTAAGATTCGTCTCCGGATATCTTTCATGATTGGTATCCGGTTACCTTCGGCAATTTTTCATCATGGTTGGTGTCCGGATCACACCGGCGATTATACGTCATGATTGGTGTTCAGATACCACCTGACATTATCGGGCAAGATTGGTCTCCAGATACTACCTGACATTATCTGTCAAGATTGGTCTGTCAAGATTGGTCTCCAGATACCACCTGACATTATCTGTCAAGATTGGTCTGTCAAGATTGGTCTCCAGATACCACCTGACATTATCTGTAAAGATTGGTCACCAGATACCACCTGACATTATCTGTAAAGATTGGTCTCCAGATTCCACCTGACATTATCTGTAAAGATTGGTCTCCAGATACTACCTGACATTATCTGTCATGATTGGTCTGTCAAGATTGGTCACCAGATACCACCTGACATTATCTGTCTAGATTGGTCACCAGATACCACCTGACATTATCTGTAAAGATTGGTCTCCAGATACTACCTGACATTATCTGTCAAGATTGGTCTGTCAAGATTGGTCTCCAGATACCACCTGACATTATCTGTCAAAATTGGTCACCAGATACCACCTGACATTATCTGTCAAGATTGGTCTCCAGATACCACCTGACATTATCTGTCAAGATTGGTCTCCAGATACCACCTGACATTATCCGTCAAGATTGGTCTCCAGATACCACCTGACATTATCCGTCAAGATTGGTCTCCAGATACCACCTGACATTATCCGTCAAGATTGGTCTCCAGATACCACCTGACATTATCTGTCAAGATTGGTCTCCAGATACCACCTGACATTATCTGTAAAGATTGGTCTCCAGATACCACCTGACATTATCTGTCATGATTGGTCTCCAGATACCACCTGACATTTATCTGTCATGATTGGTCTCCAGATACCACCTGACATTATCTGTCAAGATTGGTCTCCAGATACCGCCTGACATTATCCGTCAAGATCGATCTCCAGACACCACCTGGCATTATCCGTCAAGATTGGTCTCCAGATACTACCTGTCATTATATGTCAAGATTGGTCTCCAGATACTACCTGACATTTTCTGTCAAGATTGGTCTCCAGATACCACCTGACATTATCCGTCAAGATTGGTCTCCAGATACCGCCTGACATTATCGGTCATGATTGATCTCAAGATACCACCTGACATTATCCGTCATGATTGGTGTCCAGATACCACCGGATATGATACACCATGACTGGCCTATTGGACGAGCACAACTGTTAAACGACGCTAGCCGAGTCTTATATAGGTTTTGCAGTTGTGTACGAGTCTAATATAATCAGTATTGTTCTCAGTCATGTTTAATGACATCTCTATTTCACACCACCATCTTCTGATATGCTGACAGAACTTTGTAACTTCAATTACAATAAGTGTTGAATATGGATTTTGGACTTTCAAAAAAATGAAAAACGAGGCTAGATGGGGTGCGATTTTGATTTGATATAAACCTTTTGGTTTCTGGAAATGAAAACAAGGCTATAAGGGGTGTTATATGAACTTGATATGAACCTTTTGGACTCTGAAAATGAAACCGAGGCTTAATTTATAAAATTGGGTCCAATAATGATTACTATTTAAACATCACGAGGTGCAAATGCTGAAAGTGCACTGGTTATATCTTATAAGGTGTAAGATACATGTGAATTTTGCACGATGAGGAAAATAAATTACATGTGCAGTTACATGCATAACGTAATAAAGGCGATGGTTTCGGAACAGTGATTATAATTAAAAATTAAGGCATGGTAAACAAGCATAATGATATCTTAAAGTTATATAACAACTATAAAATTTATTAAAAGTATTTATATAACTTGAATATCCAAGGTTTTGTTAAATCGAATAAGATATATATTTACGCAGTATCAAATCTGAGACCACATTTCGATATTTTAAATCATAAAACATTCTTTTGTCTATATATAGAATGTTGTTTAACGACGTGTTTATACATGCACCGTACAAGAAGATTTTGACAATTAAATTGTATATCTAAGCAAAAGTCATCTCCTCACTAAAATTTTATTTAAACATAAGACGATCAAGCATCGTATGATGTTAATTTAACTTGATTGATATTTTAATTTTAGTTTTCTGCTGTACATATAAATATATATGAGTATTTAAGCAATTCATTTGATCCTCTGATATGTTTGATAGTATATGAAGATTCACCTGTGCTCTTTTTGACAAAGCTGTATACTATTTTAAATGGATAGTCATGAAATCTAGATTTTAATACGTGACCATACTTTTATTACTTACAGAAAAACTTTATATAACTAAAAAAAATTGCCGTTGATAGTCTTATTTAAAGGCTGGCAATTTTCACGAATTATTTGTCACATATTTTTTTTTATTTATATCTTGAAACATTGAATAGATCCTGCTTTGTGGATGCATTTTCTTTGTACATGTATTTACGCAGTCAATTGCAAACACTATTTTATATCCTTGTAATAATTTGTACCAATATTGATTTTTTTTATTGTTTTGTCTTCCTTTACTGCGTCCAGAAATTAATAAGTCGAGCGTCACTGTCTCGTCTGACATATCTTGTTAATAGTTATTTTAACGGGACTTGAAGATATATAAATATTGAACCATGTTTCTAATCTCATGCCACGTGGTTGTACTTTTAACTGTTTTGTGACCTGCAATTTCCTATTATTATAGCCATAAAATTGCTACGGTCATCTCGACTTCTTTACGATTTACCTAACTCAAATAGATTTAATCTTTTATCTAAAGTGTAGTACTGGTCAAAATCAACACAATAATAAAGTCTATAAATTAAAGTCTACGTTATGAACATGTTATTATCGCCATTTAAAAAGAAATTTTGCTTGGGTGACTGAAAAACAAAATAACAGTCACATACGGTGCGAGTATTGCTGAATTACGTTAAAGAACGGAAGCAGTGTGAATTGGGAAGAATTCACAATCTCTCGCGATTGACTTAGATAGCATCTACTTTCTGTACTTTACATAAGTGATTTAAATTATGTCCCTGGGGTAAAATTTTGTCCGCTTAGATATACAGCTTAGATATTTGGATAGTATATAATAATTTTAATATTCATAACTACAATAATATGACACTATAAAACAATTTTCATTATACCTCTATAGTGAATACTTAACCGGTACCGTTAGCTTAGTGGTTATGGTCTATGCCTTCGGATCGGGAGGTCGAAGGTTCGAGCACCACGGGAGCGGTTATTGAAGAATGAATGTTTCTCGTGGGACTCATTCCGAAATGGCCGCGAAGTAGTTCAAATGCATGGTTACCGATTTCTATCCGCCTGGCGCCTGGCATAGTGGTAGGAGCTGGGAGGTACATGGTATGCAAGCAAAAGGTGTCTCATAAGTCAGAATTGGCTGGCCCTTTCAGGAGGGGTGACACTATAATAAACAAGACCTTTTTATAAACAAGAACTTTTACTAAATGTGGAAATTGACCTTAAATTATATTTTTTGGGGATTGTAAAAGGGACTAGAGGTAGTAGGGAGGGGGTATCGGTAGGGGATAATATCGGGACTAGAGGTAGTATGGAGGGGGTATCGGTAGGGGATAATATCGGGACTAGAGGTAGTAGGGAGGGGGTATCGGTAGGGGATAATATCGGGACTAGAGGTAGTAGGGAGGGGGTATAGGTAGGGGATAATATCGGGACTAGAGGTAGTAGGGAGGGGGTATCGGTAGGGGATAATATCGGGACTAGAGGTAGTAGGGAGGGGGTATCGGTAGGGGATAATATCGGGACTAGAGGTAGTAGGGAGGGGGTATCGGTAGGGGATAATATCGGGACTAGAGGTAGTAGGGAGGGGGTATCGGTAGGGGATAATATCGGGACTAGAGGTAGTAGGGAGGGGGTATCGGTAGGGGATAATATCAGATCAAAATGTCTTATCTCTGTGATTTGTATCGCAAGATGGAGGTATCTATTCTACGAATTTTGTTTCACGCAGACAACATAAAACACCATTGGATAGCATTTTGAAAATAAATCATTGGTTTTCAGACCAAGATCGCAACTAAACTGTTAACAGCTTTGTTATTCAAACATATTTCATTTCATATTCGTATATCTTATTGTTTTTGTTTTTTTTTTCATTTTTTTGCACATGTGCCAAAATATTTTTTAAGCTGAATTTGATTACCACTTCATATTCACTTCCTTGATATTTTAAACGAATAAAGTTGATTTAAATACATAAAAAACCCGATTATACAAATATTGCACTGCATAGATACTCAAATGCACTGGATAGCAATCAAAAGACAGAAAGAAAGAAAGAAAGAAAGAAAGAAAGAAAGAAAGAAAGAAGAAAGATAGAAAGATAGAAAGATTGTCGCATAACTTTTACATATAATAATACACTGACGGTTTCTATTAAATATGAAATATTTCAATGCGAAAGCTAATCAAATCAAATTCGTATCTAAATGCAAGAATCAAATAAGCTCTTACTCGTCTTTTATTTGCTTTAAAGGAGGTAATTCAAATATAAATACTAGCGGGTGATTGCAGCAATTTGCTTGAATACGTATTTGTCATCGTTAACGTTATCGTTTGTTTGTAAGAAAACTTAAGATCTTCAAATCTTAAAAAAAATATGAGGATACCAAAGGGAAATTTTATATTATTTATGAAATGTTCCCCTACTTATAACGTGTAAATGCATCGTCAGACCCCACGGTACACATTCCGCATATACTACATTTGCTGGTTTACGATAAATAGCCCCGGTTACCGTGGATGTGATAATAAATAACGATACTGATAAGTTATATTCCAAATGATAAGAAAAATATAGCAGTTCTGATACTCCCAGATCGTTAAATTCCATGTGAAATTTTAAATAAAGAAGACTATCAACATTACTATACTAAACTCATACAGGGGGTCGTTTTTGAAGCATATTTGAAACGGGAGAAATTGTTTCTGTAACGCGCAAGGCGTGGACAAATATTTTATACGGGACCTTTCGACGAGAAACTTGTTAGAAATTTAAGTTGAGAGAGAAAGAATTTCTATGTAGGCGTCATATTTTCATTGTTATATGTTTCAGTGCTTAAATGTCTCGTGGTTGTTATCAGCTACCAATGATGGAAACTTATCTTACATCTCGGAGCAGACATTTCTAAATATCTCCATAGTTTTGTTAGACTTGGCTATTAATTCTAACACAACATGTCACACTGTTATTGACGTTGGAGAAGAAGAGTTTGACACACACAAGAACGATCTTATAAGTAAATTAAGACAAAGCGAGGAAAATGAGGGTTTGCAAGTCCTCACATTTCAACGCACATTGGAAACCATAGTCTTTGGTAAGAGCAACACCTTTGTAAGTTGCATTTTTGTAAACCTTTACCATTGGCATAAAAACCTCATCTTACAACAACACTTATGTTCATCTGTGAAAGCAACATTATATTAAGAAATACTTTTGTGCTCAATGCTTTTTAAAAAAAAAAACCTTGTTTGAGCTATATGTTTAAAAGCTTCTCGTTTGTGTACAGTATCGATTTCAAAGGGATAAATTATACAGTTTTATAATGCAATTAAATGTCATCAATGTCATCAAGAGCAATCAAAAACACATTAGAATAATGAGCAGCATTTAACCCTTATAAACAGGAAGAGAAGAAAATTAATAAACTTTAAAAATACAAAAAAAATGGGACAATTTTTATACGACGTTCATTTGTCAAAAAGTTGTTTTTTTTTTGTCATATTTATATATACTATACATGTGTCTGTTATATTACCTATAATTCTTTTGCTGTTGGAGACGGATTTCTTTTATTACTTGAATGACCCCTCTACAATGATTTGAGAAAACAAATATTTATTGAATCGTAAACACTACAAAAAGAGAAAAATGTTATAAGAAGTAATCCATGTTTATCTTTTTTTAAGATGTTTGAATTAAGATAAAATGTTGATTAACCATAATAAAATATTATTATATTTTTGTAATGGTACATGGTTTTAATTGTGACCATAGGTAAAGCTTGAGTAGTTCTTTATAAAGTATAAATATTTTATGCTCTCCAAACTGTAGTTTTATTATATTGTAATGCAATATTCTGAATTTTGCTGTAGAAATAATGTATATGGCATGTGTATGTATTTATGGGCATTTCCCCCACATGTTACCCAATTAAAAAAATTCAATACATTAAAAAAACAGTACTTTATCTGGCTATTTATACTTACATCGATTTCATTATTGTTCTTTTTTATTGTCTTTTTTTCTTCTACTTTTACAGCTTCTCACGACGAGGAACACGATGAAGAACACGATGAGGAACACGGTGAGGAAGACGGTGAGGAACACGATGAAGAACACGATGAGGAACACGGTGAGGAACACGGTGAGGAACACGATGAGGAACACACACATGATACTGAACACGAAGAAAATGACGATCATCATGGCGATAATGGACTCCTTTTTCAAGAAAAGGTTTGACCGATCAGTTATATTTTATTGAGTAGTTTTGAGTGAAGTCAAATGTGCATCGGCTCAGTAAAGTATAGTCTCTTGCGCATCGGTCGTATGTTTCACTATCGCTCAGTTTCTTTCTGTCTGATGTAACGTAAGTGTATTCAGTGAGCTGCGAAGGGAGCGCAAGTAGAGTGGCAAATAAAGACATAAAAGACTTCCTAGATTTATCAATATTGAAGATAATAACGGCATATTGTAGCAGTGGCCCTTCGGAAGCCGTTTGGCCACTCGGAAGCCTAAAATAATTTGTGATATTTTTGGTAATCGTGAACGCAGTTATTGTACTACATATACGCTATGTACGTTGAATAAATGCTAAAAAAATTCTTTAAAGGTATATATATCATTGATAATGAGAACACCATTTTCTTATTACTTTATGTACTTTAATTCACGAAGATTTTCCTACTAGTCATGTTCTATTTAATATGTCAAGGTATGCATTAAGTGTACTTTTTGATATTTGATATTTAAATATAGAACACTGCTCGATTGTGACATTGCAAAACATGATATTTTCACGCTCGTATATAATGCAATATGAAAAAAACTATGCTGAATAGACAAAAAAATGTAAATAATGTAAAATAAGTAGGTGTATTCGGTTTATGACGATGCTTTTATGGGATATCGTTGCTCCTCTTTTTAGCTCACCTGTCACTTTGTGACAGGGTGAGCTTTTGTGATCGCTTTTCGTCCGGCGTCCGTCCGTCCGTCCGTCGTCCGTCGTCCGTAAACTTTTACTTTAAATGACATCTCCTCATAAACCACTAAGCCAATTTCATCCAAACTTCACAGGAATGTTCCTTTGGTGGTCACCTTTGAAAACTGTTCAAAGAATTTAATTCCATGCAGAACTCTGGTTGCCATGGCAACCAAAAGAAAGAATTTTAAATATCTTCTTCTAAGAAACCCAAAGAGCTAGAGCTTAGATATTTGGCATGAAACATCTTCTAGTGGGTGTCTACCAAGTTTGTTTAAATAAAAGCCCTGGGGTCAAAATTGGCCCCGCCCCAGGGGGTCATTTATTTTTCCTATATGCATATAGTATAAACTTAAAAATCTTCTTTTAAAGAACCCAAAGTGCTTGAGCTAAGATATTTAGCATGAAACATGTTCTAATGGATGTCTACCAAGTTTGTTCAAATAAGAGCCCTAGGGTCAAAATTGGCCCCGCCCCAGGGGGTCATTGATTTTCCCTATATGAATATAGTAAAAACTTAAAAATCCTCTTTTAAAGAACCCAAAGAGCTAGAGCTAAGATATTTAGCATGAAACATGTTCTAATAGATGTCAACCAAGTTTGATCAAATAAGAGCCCTGGGGTCAAAATTGGCCCAGCCCCGGGGGACAATGATTTTCCTTAAATGTGTATAGCAAAAACTTAAAAATCTTCTTCGAAAAAAAAAAAAACGAATAGCTAGAGTTTAGATATTAAGCATGAAACATCTTCTAGTAAGTGTCTACAAAGATTGTTCAAATAAAAGCCCTTGGGTCAAAACTGGCCGTGCCCCAGGGGTGTCATTGTTTTTAAATATATATGTAAAGAAAAAACTTAAAAAATCTTCTTTTAAAAAACCCAACGAGCTAGACCTTAGATTTTTAGCATGAAACATCTTCTAACGGTTGTCTACCCAGTTTGTTCGAATAAAAGCCCTGGGGTTTAAACTGGCCCCACTCTGGGGGGCCTATATACAGGTGAGCGACTTCAGAGCCATCATGGCCCTCTTGTTTATCAAATGAAATGTGTCTTGTAAAAAACAACAACAAAACATTGACATTGAATTAATCCGTTCTGCGCATTTTTTATCTCTTCCGAAATTAGTTTATTAGCTCGACTGTTCGATAAGAATAAGTAGAGCTATATTTTAGTCACCCGAGCGTCGGCGTCGGCGTCAGTGTCGGCGTCGGCGTAATTTGTAATACCTTATATATTTTCAAAGTCCATTGATATATGGCTTTGAAACTTTGCACACTTGTTTACCAACATGACCCCAACATGTAGACAGGAGGAGGTAACTGTATCAAGCATTTTGACAGAATTATGCCCCTTTTTGACTTAGAATTTTTAAAAAGTTTTTGTAATACCTCAAATATTTTCAAAAGTCGTTGACATATGGCTTTGAAACTTTGCTTATTTGTTCAATACCATGACCCTAACATGAAGACAGGAGGAGGTAACTCTATCAAGCATTTTGACAGACTTGTGCCCCTTTTTGTGTTAGAATTTATGTTTATGTTTTTGTAATACCTCAAATATTTTCAAAGTTCGTTGACATATGGCTTTGAAACTTTGTACACTTGTTCACCATCATGACCCCAACCTGTAGACAGGAGGAGGTAACTCTATGAAGCATTTGGCAGAATAATGCCCCTTTTTCAACTTAGAATTTACATTTTAAGTTATCATACCACCTCAGATATTTTCATATTCTATTGATATTTTGCTTTGAAACAAGTTGAAATTTTATGCTCTTCTTTGAGAGCAAAGTAGGACTCTCTCAAAGTCCTATAATTTTTTAAATTTTGTAATTATTATTAAATGATTTAAAGAAAAAATTGCGTTTTTGTTAACTTAGAAAAGTTTACATTATCAAGGCTTTCTTACTATCAGGCACTAAGAATAGTCGAGCGTTGCTGTCCTACCGACAGCTCTTGTATCAATTAATATCATTAATATGTGACAAAACATAGCGTAGTTTTTAATCTGATCCTATTTCATCTTTACATACAAATATGTTTCACATTTCAGTGTTTAGGGGCTGACGTTGTTTTCGATCTACTAGGAATTGCTTTAGATGATAAAATTACCGACGGCAATATAGGAAGTATTGCCGGACTTGTTGTATATCACATAATAGATGGTGAGTAGTATGATATAAAACATGTACATTATTAACTTTACACAAATTTTACTAAAACACGGTTAACTTAAAAGCCCCCCCCCCCCCCCCCCCCCCCCCCCCCCCCCCCCCCCCCCCCCCCCCCCCCCAAAAAAAAAAAAAAAAAAAAAAAAGATATTTTTACTTCCCAATACTTTTCTGTTTTTGGTATCTAAATACAGTTTTCAAAACATTATTCATTGGCCATGTAGAACTATATCTTCTTTGGTAAATTGTATACTTATCATAGTGATTTAGTATTTTGTATTGAAGTCAAAATACGACTGTGTACACTTTGCTACCTTTACAACACACTACTGTACATTAAATGCTACTGTTTGCAGTTGCTTAACACCAAAAACCTCTTAATTCATCAAAATATTATCACCTTTCTTAAGAAATTTTTTTTTATAGATTTCTGAGGCATAATGAGTCTGTAAACGTTATTTATTCCAGATTAATTGTATTTATTACATGCTTTTCGGTGGTTTATATAAATATATCAGTGATATAAGACTGGTAATTTCACTGTTTGAAACAGTGAAATTACCACTTTGATAATTTCACTGTTTTGAATTTAAGCCCCTTACGTTGTTTCAGTGAAATACCAGCGTGCACAGTACTGGGTACCAACTTAATGACGTGACGTTGTAAATGACGTCACGTTGTATTATTATTTGGCGCGCTTTTCATTCAGTATTAGATTTAATGTCTTTTTAAAACGTTTATTTGCATATAATAAAAATAAAATTTGTTTAGTTTAGCGTAAGATCGAAATATATTTCACCTTGTGAACACCAAAAGTTCATATTTCACTCGTGGCTGCGCCACTCGTGAAATATACCTTTTGGTGCTCACTCGGTGAAATCTATTCCGATCTTACACTGAACTAAACAATTATCCTCTATATACTATATATACGTGCAATGTATAATAATAAGTATCTTTTTTATTCGAAAAACAAAACAAAACATAAAAAAACTTTCTTTCAATTCCTCTCTTACACTTTCAATATATAAATGTCCATTAATCGAAATATGTAATTTGTTATAAATAGTATCTAGAATAAAATTATTATTCAAGATCCTGTAACACAATTTTTTATGGTTTTATATCATAAATATGATGCTCAAAGTAAGATTTATCAATTTTGTAAGTTCCAAAAAGCATTATTTATAAAGATATTTCCGAGTAAATAAAGGGAGGTAATAAAAAAACTATTTTCTATAAAGACTAAGTCAAATTTTTCAATAAGAAATGAATGCATATATTTTAATGATTACATATAATATGTACAAATTTTTGCAATATATATTTTACATATTCTTCGATGTTTGAAATTTTTTTATAAGCATAATTATATACATATATATATATAATTTCATTTAAGTGTGGTATACAACCTCAATTACAACATACAGGATCTTTAAGTAAAGCACAATTTTTGTCACGTGGATTCTACAATTGTGATATCGCGAGCGTCATTGTTCTTGTAAACTTTTCATATTTGCATTTCAAATTATTTAGTCTTCAACTCAAATGTCAATTTTGAGGTTGTGAATTGATTAAAATCATTAAGATAAACACGATATATACGTATCATTAATGATTCTTATTAAGTAAGGTACACTTACTTTAAAATAACGATTGATCTTTTGTAGGAGCTAATATATCACGTGACTGTCGAATATTACCGAGAGCGGACTTCTTTTTTGAAGAGCTAGATCACATCTATGGTAACGGTAACCATACGCTGGGTACCAGAGGTAATTGTTATACTGAATGTGCTGAATGAGCGTCATGCTCATGTCATGTGTTGAATTTTAGCCTGGAATTGCAAGGTTAGATTAATACAGATTTGTTTTAATTCGAAGCTGTAAGTTAATATACACGCTACAAAGCAATGAGTGTAAAATTTCTGCCCAAGGAAACCAAAGCTTGTCCCAAACGGAATTCGAATTTACCATGCAATCAGCAAACCTTAGATTTCTAGTTATTTTTCTCATTGGCATATACATTTATACTCTATATGATTTTTCAAATAACTTTTCAAATACAACTATTTCAACGCACCCAGGATTATCAGAAGTGATGGAAGCGCTTGAAATAGGAGGTGCGCATGCGCAATCAGAAACAGAAGAACATGGCCATGATCACAGAAGAAAAAGAAGTGCAGACATGTCTCCAATGCTGCATAAGGAATCCTGGGTAAACTTTTTCATACTTGAATCGTTATAAAAACAAGCTTTCCTGACAACTGTACAAGACTAAACGCATTTAAAACATAATATATTCTTTCATGATCTCTCTCTCTCTCTTTACTCTTGTTTCTCGACCTTTTCTGTTAATCTTTTGATAAGGACCTCGAACGCACAGAACGGATTGGGTATTTTGGTCCTACATATATTAAAAAAAACTACAAATATTATATAAGTGCCGTGATTTGTTCACACAAGAAACAATTAATTTACCTATATACACTCTTTATCTATAGTAATATAAGCGTATCTAGGTAAATTGATTGCGTCTAGTGTCTGTGGATTTCTTATGTAAGTTTATTTCAGCATTTCTTGTAAAAGTCCACTAAAATTAAATAAATTAATAAATATGATGTATGTAGTAAAAAGTATCTTTATTATACTAACTGAAACTTTTCTAGAAACTAAAAGGACAAGACGATATTTCGGTTTTGATTATATATAATTGTATATCAATGGACCATTAATAATTCTGATTGTTTGTCAAACTATTCAATCATTATAATCAATACCGAGATATATATTTTTTTCTAATCGATGTTATATAAATACATTCGTTACTCATTTTTCAAATCCTTGTTTAAGGAGCATGTTAATTCCGATATGATTCTGAATAATTGGCATGGTGTTCCAAATGTGACAAATACCAACAATTGATTGATATAATTTGATTGATCGATTGATTGATTGACTGATAAGTTGATTGATTGATTGATTGATTGATTGATGTTTGTTTAGTTGGATCGTTGATTGACTGATTTAAAAAAAAATCTGAAGAGTAGTTTTTATTTCACGAGAAATAGTTAGTAACTGGAATGTGAGAACAAATTAAAGTTTGAAATTCCTTTGAATGTCATTGCATTTTAGGTTTTTAGTTTATTGGCAAATCGACAATATACATATATTAACATATGGTATAAAATTTTAATATCCAAATGTCAAAATGTAGTAAAAGTTTAGATTTTCAAACGTACTCATGTATCTAGTGATGGAATTTATTTATGGAAAACTGAACCTAGTTAGAAGTTACTTACAAAAAAGATACAAGAAATGATTTTAATTGAAACTGAGAAAAAACATCATATTTACCTCCTGTGAAAATGTTGATAACAACATAAATGAAATACATCATTTGGTATAAAATATTAATAGTTTTTTACAAGCTTTTAAAGAGCCGGTCTATCGTTGTCAATCTGTGACAATAATATGCGCTTTTATGATGGTTTTAATTTTGTTCATATTAGCGTTAAAAGTTATGTGCATATAAATATCAAGTGATCAGTCATTAAAAGCTGAGATGGACCATTTGCAATACTGATATTTTCACTTTGTAGATTCATGTGCATTTTTCTACACACGTATTTTCATGTCATTTCGACGACATTTACAGAATATTGGATAGAAAATTAAAATCTAAAATATGAAAATTTTGCCTGTGTCTCCCTTTAATGCTTCCGAGGGATCAATTTTTTTCCAGATATTTATATAAATACGTCACCGTACTTCGCTTCAGTGTTTTAATATTTTTCTGGTCCTTCGGGATAATCGAATTGAATACCGCTCAAGCCGGTGCTACGGGGTGTGAGGGATAATGCACTTTTTCATTATTCCTCATATATAGACTAGATCATACCGAGTCTGCAATTTACATGTAATTTTGCTGTTTTATTTAAATGCTTCCGACAGATATTTTGACAATTTTTAAACTCCACCCATCCATAATAACTGGATTAAAATAGCTTTACAAACGCCTATGAAAACATGACATGCATTTGAGCCGCGTCACGACAAACATAGTGCGTTTGCGACCAGCTTGGATCCTGATCAGACTGCGCGGATCATGCTGTTCGCTATCAGTTTCTCTACTTGTAATGGGATTTGAACAGCATGGATCCTGGTCAGACTGCGCGGATGCTGGTCGCAAACGCACTATGTTGGTTTTGTCGAGACACGGCTCATTTCGTGTCATATATGAACACAAAAACGACATTTTATTGGTTAAATGTTTAATCGACTTATATTGATTTGTACTATGCTTGTTGATGTGAAAATAAAACATAAGAAATGTGTTCCACTATCGAAGAAACAAACGTATATTTCTAATATGAAAATAAAAATCACATGCACTTGAAACCTTATTACCCATATTTCCAGCTCATTTAACATTTAAAAGCCTATGTAAAATTGAAATTAACTTAAATACCAGAGTTGCACTTCATGTACATAAATATAATGATTACTGCACCACAACAAATATTATTCAATCGTTTGAATTGCTTAGATATGAAATGAAAATTGCATTTGTTTTATATGGTTATTCATGAAGTTCTTTAATAAACATACTTGTATAACGACCAAATGTCAGACATCTTTATGACGAATTTATATAACTGCAGAATTACTTTATTCTAGGAAAAGTTCATATATCTTTCATAAATGGGTAGTACCCGCGTGTTTATAGATTATATAAACGCTTCCCTTATCCAATGAACGGAGATGTAACAAACGTGCAATTTTACAAAGCTTTATATGTTTTTATTAATTTCTTTAAGGAGAAGTCATGTTATACGGATGAGCAGCTTCTAGCTATATTTCACACGGTTGACGACGACATTTCTGAGGAAACATTTAGTACTATATGCCCAGCTTTGATACAGCAGAAGTTGTCGGGAGCATGTGTAACAAGTGAGGAAGTTGCAACAACTGTTGAAGATAAGCCTTCAACTGTAGAAAGTAAGCAAATTATTAGTATTACTCGAATTCCGTTTCTCTCGAAGTGAAATGCCCAGTCCCTTGAATTTCAAGTTATCGAGATTCAACTGTATTTCTTAATAAAGAAAAAAACAAAACTTTTGTACTGTCATTTTGGAACTTTTGTTGTTTTTCTCTTGACTAGCTTTTCTGTCTTTTTATTGCAAACTATCTACCTATAAATGAACAAGGAATAGAGAAGAAAGCAAACAAACTTTATGTATATACATAGTCATGTTTATAATTGATCGCAAGTGAACACGTCTTTATGCAAATGCAAATTTAGTAAGACTGGAAATATTTTAGTCTATTATGTAATATACTGGTACAGGACTGGACAATATCACTATCACTATTTAAAGTGGATTGGTCTACATTGGGCAGAATTTCCATTAGTATTTTGATAAAAACAATAGAAATGTAACATTTGAATTTTCTTATAAAATGCTGCTGAAATAAAAATGTTGATAAAGTTCTGAGTGGTTTAGAATGACCATGTAGCTGATGAAAAATAATATTTTGTTCTAGAACAAATTATTATCTGCTATATAAATATAGGTAATACCGGATCATGTATGTCACACTTGCCAACAACTTCCATACATAATTGTTTCGTGTTTTCTTGCTGTAGCTAATACTAAATACTATCAACGTAATTATCCATCGTATTACAGACTAATTCACTTTAAAGGGACTCCACTGAGGTTTAAAAGCCTAAAAAAAAACATATGAATTTCTTACATGAATGAGCTGGGGCACTTTAAACAGAAATACAAATGTATATGCAAAAATAGTTAAGAAATATACTTTGGAATACATTGAATATTGTATTTTTATGCTTCTGTTAGGCTGATTTGAGTGAAAAGCGTTTAAACGCTTTTCATTTTGGGTAATGTTTTTACAACTTGAATATTCTGGAAAACGAAGTGCGTGAATGATCTGAAATTTTGCACAAAGATTAGTCGTCTTAACCTACATCAAATGGTACACTATCTGGAAAAAATATTTTCAGTCCCATCATGTCAAAAAACCTCAGTGGAGTCCCTTTAAAAATGAGGTAAGTATAATAAAAGCACAACACGTTTTTATAAATAATATAACTAATTTACGCATGTTATACATTTCAGAGTACGGATACGGTAGCCTAGCAACCATCGTCGTATGTTTATGTTCAGTGATTGGAGCATTTATTGTCAAGTTTACTAGTGATAAAGCATATGAAATAATCATGGCGTTGTTTCTTGGACTTGCCGTCGGAACACTATTTACAGATGCTATGATTCACCTTCTCCCGATGGTATGATATTACAAAGTTCTTTAAGTGTTGAGAATTGAGTACCGCTCAAGCCGGTGCTAGGGGGCGTGAGGGATGTTGCACATATCCCTCATGTACAGACTCAACCAAATCGAGTCTGCAATTCTCTTGTAACTTTGTTGTTATTCATGCTCCCGAGGGATCACTTTGTTTCAAGAGTTTTTTTTTCAATCAGATCAGAAAAAGGGATACCTTGGTATTACATAACTGTAGCATGTTTAAATGTGGAAATTATACCGCTGGAGTAACTAGAGGAGCTTATGTAATACTACTCCAGTCACACTTGATTTCTTACATGGAATTATCCTGTAAAAGTATATTTCAATGACTAAACAGTAAAGCTAAGCAAAACAGTTACATGACACAATGTATCTACTAGTATATTGTTGTATGTACTTATCTAAAATAAGTAATGTATGGAGAATCTGAGACATAATATTACAATATGTCACAGGGAGTTTATAATGCCAATTCCGTAACTCTTCCCCCCCCCCCCTTCATTTCCTGACCGAAAAATCATACCTGTCTTAACCAGCTATGTTCGCCCATACGTCATAACTTTTTTCCTAAATGTATCACATTATTCATGAAGGATTTACTTTGGACCCCATCTAGCAATTATATTTAAGAGTTCGAGGACTATGAAAGCATTTCTGTTTTATTTTAGGCGCTTGGACTTCACGGTCATTCCTCGGACGGTCATGATGAACACGGTCATGAAGGTTCCGGTATTGTGGTAGAGGAATATGTCTGGTTCTCCTTAGCTGCTTGTGCCGGTAAGTCCTTTTATCGTCCATCGCCTTATATCATGTACCGCCGGAAAAATGAAACATTCTATGAGGATTTACCATTCCCTCAATCAACACAAATTACGAATAAAGTTAATGAATGTATAGAAGATATTGAAAGAATTTAAGATAAATACTAGATTTATTGAACGAGTTGAATACTAATTCAATACATATTTATTTATTCAATAAATTAGTATTGAAGCTACACGAATATAACATTCTGTTTATCACAAATTTATACGCAAATGACGTCACGTCGTTCAAATACCGTTTTAAGGGAGTCGCGACTGCATTGTGTGAATGCTGAGAGGTCATTAAGTTTATTTTGTGTGTAATACATTTATAATTTGCTTCAAATTTGAAAAATGAAATACTGTCATTTTCATTTTTCAGCGTTGTATTTCTTTTACCTTTTTGAGAAGACATTGACGTTGGTTCGAGGACAGGTGAGTTATGTCTCATATATTGTTTGAAGATTATCACATTACTATTGCATTCAAGCAGATAACAGTTACAAACTTGTTGTTTTAAAATTGGATAAACGGGATGGTCTTAATTGTGGATCATGTTACCAATGAAATAAAGAACAGAAAATTCCGTTATTTTAAACATTTGTCTTAATATAGCTGAATGACCTTCGGGTTGGCCTAAAGTAGAGTTTCTACTGTATATCATGATTGCTATTCATTGATATTTTGCCATTGAAACTTCTAACCTCTTTTGAACTAGTTCTATGTGCAATCTGCAAATTTGCGATCATATTTCTCGTTGTTGTTTTTACATACAACTTGTATTACAATATTATAGAAATATAAAACTGTATGTGAAACTGAATTATTGTTTAGTTAGATAAAAAATCCAAATAAAGCAATGAAAATTAGAAATCATGCTTACTTTATATACAAATAATAGTTATCAGTTTTGGATAACACCGGTTATTTATAGTCTTTCATAACATAATGTGTTTCAAGTTGTAGTATTAAAGGAGCTCCACCGAGGTCAAAAAGTCTTAATACATCTGGAAATATATGAAAAAGATACTTGGAGTTAAAATAAAAATCATTTTTTGCATGATTGTAGCCTTGTTTGAGTGATAAATTGTTGCAACGCTTTTCAATGTTTGGTCATTTTTCACAATATGAATGATCATGCTAGGAAAACTGGATGAGGGAATGATCTGAAATTTTGTGCGCAAGTTGTTAGTCCAGACCTTCAATAAATGGCATAGAAGTCTCGAAAAAAAGTTCCCATCCCTTCTTGTTAAAATACCTCAGTGGAGACCCTTTAAGTAACAGATTTCTTCGCAAAATCATATTCCCAAAAAGTCAAAAGTTGACCACTTTTATGTTATAGAATTTTCACAGTCATGGACAGAGCAGATTTACAGAAGAACAAAAACACGAGCAAGAAGTTAGTATCATAATTCTGTTTATAATACACAGTTTATATTTATACATATGAAACAATACAGTTGCATTGAAAGGTTAAGACGTTTTATGTCCGTTGTATTCGTATATATGGAACGCTATCATTGTTAATTAAAACAAGTTCAATACCAAACTTTTGAAAGTTGTGAAGTACGAGTTGTTTAAAGCATCATAGAAAACACAGTAGATAGTGTGTCTTTCGTTTAAAGACACAAAAAACGCATATGACCCGTGTCATGACAAAACCAACATAATGGGTTTGCGACCAGCATGGATCCAGACCAGCCTGCGCATCCGCGCAGTCTGATCAGGATCCATGCTGTTCGCTTACAAACTCTATAACAAGTAGAGAAACCGATAGCGAACAGCATGGATCCTGATCAGACTGCGCGGATGCGCAGGCTGGTCTGGATCCATGCTGGTCGTAAATGCATTATATATGTTTGTTTTGTCATGAAGCGGCTCATATTATTTCCCTTTTGTCGATTAGCAAAATGTGAAAAAGTCGACTGTAATGTGATAACAAGAACGTGACAGCTATTTGTACTAAAAAAAGACCTAATCATTTTTTTCAGATTAATGTTTCTAAAGCTGAAAAATATAAAGTTGATTCAAAAGAAGACTCGGACGGTAACCAAGGAGAGTCAAAAAGGCGTAAGTGATATCCCTATTCACTATAGCAATGATAGTATTGTAAATGTTTATATAACACAATGTATATCATTTATAACACAACTTTTCAACCTGTTACATTTAAACAAGTTTGTGTTGGAATGAAAACATTAAAGACAACAGTTAAAAATGTCATGTACTGAGAAAGTAGAAAAAGAAACATGCCAGTACTATGGAGATAGTTTTGTGTAACGAGTTTTTATTGTTTTGAAATCAATACTGTCCATTCGAATTTTAAGTTGTTTATTTAAGAAATAATATATCAAAAACAGTGATTTTATCGCTCAATAACATCACTGTTTGGAGTTCGGATGCGAGGAATTATATCACGAGGGCGTAGCCCGAGTGATATAATGATGCGCATCCGAACGACAATACAGTGATGTTATCAAGCAATATTAAAATCACCGATTTGGATATATTATTTCGATTCTAACACGACATCAACAATAAATGCTGCCGTACCTAATAGTAAGATAAATTGTGCCTGATTTGTTTCCGTACTTATTTTCAGCGCGTCGGATTTTTAAAGGTTACGTCACGTGTATAATGATTACGTCATATGTCTAAATATAGAACGTCAAACTGTGATTTTGTTGCATAATAACACACACTTTCGGTTCTTCTTTGTTCAATAGGGAAAATGCGGTTCGTGTTAGAATTTTTCACAAATACACAAACTGACTGCACCCACTAAAGAGCCTAATCAAACATCACGAATTCAATTATACAACATATTTCAACAGTATTAGGAGGAGCAATTTATATGCCTTCGAAGGGCGGCATATAATGATCGCACTGTCCGTCCGTCCTTACGTCTGTCCGGTAATCTTGTCCGCGCTTCATCTCCAAAACCGCTGGGTGAAATTCAGTGAATCTTCACAGGCGTGATCAGTACCATCGCATATCGCCAGTACGTTCCGCTAGCGACAGCACGACAAAGCGTTAAACGGCGCGTTGTCTGACTTTCGTCTTGTCGTCCTGTCGCTAACGATGTCGCTAACGATGTACGCAAAACAGCGTGTTGTCGCGATGTCACATTGTTGCTCGGCTCAAATCGAAGGATTGGCTTATAAGCCAAGCGACAGGGCGACATTGCGCTGCAGGACAAAGCGCCGTTTTGCGTGGTCCGCTAGCGACAGGAGGACAAGATGACAGTGCGACAACGCGCCGTTTGGCGCGTTTCGTGAGCGACAAGACGACATGACGTAAAGGCGATGACGATATAGGTTGTGTTTTTGCTAACGCAACGCGCAAAGTGTACCACATCAGCCACCATAGTCGTGAAATAGTATTGAAACATATGGTTTATTTGTAGCTACAACATCTTTTCATTTTTTTCCAGCCACGTCGACAGTTGCAGTGATGGTTTTAATGGGAGACGCCGTCCATAACTTCGCCGATGGCGTTGCTATTGGCGCCGCGTTCTCGTCAAGTTTGGTCCTTGGCTTGTCCACAACTATTGCAGTGTTCTGTCATGAACTTCCACATGAGTTAGGTAACCATTTACCAATCATTATAATTACATCATGAATATATCCAAATTCGTACCATAATATGAGGCAACACATTATTAGAATGCTTATTAATACAAAAATATGGATAGCTATTGAATTCACACAGGTGTCGGCACATGACTCTGTCATGACAAAAATATACATCCACATAGTCAAGTTGTAAGGAAGGGATATATTTGAATCAGCTTTTCAGCCTGGCCGTTTACCTTTGTCTCCGGAACATCACTGAAATAAAAAAAACTATCGGATCCAATTGAAATTTCATAGATTTAATTAAAAAAAAGGTTTGATTATTAATTATTTGTTTCCTAATTTTGGATTAATTGTTCTTGCAATTTTTGTCCTAAAAGGGACGTCAAAAATAATCAAAATATTTTGATGTCCAAAGCTAAACTTGAGATATTTTTTGTTCGGAATCAAAATCTCGTGGAGGGGAGATATTACTCCAACATAAAATAGCACAATATCTCATTTCTTAGTGCAATTAGTTGGAATACACTCACACAGAATTGTTATCGGCTAGAAACTTCAAACACGATGAGTACAGTCATCTCGTTGAGGAAAATTGGAATTTTGAAGAACAATAACTCGTTTTTACATAACTCAAGAGTTATTGCCTTTATCATATTTCAGACTTAATTATGTATACAGTATTAGAGCTGTCTACTTTTGAAACTTAAACATGAAACATGTATAGATCTTATAAAATAAAGGTGTAGTACGCAGGAAACATATTTTTTCGTAAATTTGGTATTATTTCCCACTGGAATTTTATGCCCTTCTTTAAACGGTGAAGTATACTGAGATTGGATCTGTCCGATTGTAATTACCTTTTCCTTGTCCAATCATTTAATTGACAATTAATAAGCCAAGGTGTATGCAACTTGATTGGAACATTGCCCAATCAATTTTGGGGCCATTTGGTCAAATTATGGTCACCTTAGCCTTCACCATTAAACGTTTGTCCGACCAATAAAGCTAGGAAACTCTTTTGCCAATATATTTGGTGTGGAGACTAGTCATGACAAGTTGATTACCCCTATTGCTTTTAAAGTCAGAAGTCAAAGGTAAATGCCACCAGGCAAATGACCACTTAAAACGTATGCGATTAATAATTAGGAAATACTTTCGCCTGCAATTCACAGGTTTTCTGTTGAGGTTGGTCATGACTAGTAGTTTATCCCTTTTGATATTATCAGGTCAGAGTCACAGTGGCCTTGACCAATGAAAGCTTGTCCGACCAACAACTTGCTATGTCCTAGGATGTAGTGTGGATGTAGATTGTGGCGAGTAGAGTTCTACTCATTTTGAGATCAAAGGTCAAGGTCACAGTGTCATTATGTGTAAACTACTTGAACTACCAATCACTTTAGTAGGATTAAAGCTAAGTTTTTTTTATACATTACCCTTGTCCATTTGATGCCCGATTTCGACATTGAAGTCATTGGCACTCTGTGTAAATTCATTGTCTTTCAATCAATTTGTTAGGACATAGCATTTGGCCAGCAGGAAACCCCTATTGATTTTCAGGTCATTTGGTCAATGTCAGAGTGGAGAAGAAATACTTATTTAATCAAAAACAAAGAGTTTCTTAGCCATAGATTTGTGAACTGCATGAGCTATAACACATTTATAAAATATGTATAAATATGTAACTTTGCCACTGCCACGAAGTTGGGGGCACAAAGTGTCCTAAGGACACACTTGGTTGATAAATTCTACTGAGAAGAAATGCCGTCTCAAAGAGCCAGTATTGTTTTGCATATTTGTTCATTGTAATTTTAAATTTTATGGTGTGTTTTATGCTCCCCGAAGGGAGAGCATAAAGTCGCCGCCTTGTCCGTCTGTTCGTCTGTTGTCTTCTCCAGAGCATAACTTGAAAACCCTTGGAGATAATTTGTTTAAACTTCGCACAGTGGTAGAGAACATTGAGGCGGAGTTAAGTGTCAAAGAACCATAACTCTATTTTGGCCCGTTTTTAAATTATGTCCCCTTTTAGAAAAATCTTGTTCGTGACATACATGTAGCTCTAAAACTATAAAAGCTTTCAACATTTTGTAGGTAGATAGATCTCAATGGGAAAATGTGCAATGCACAAGAACCGAACTCTGCTTTGTCTAATTTTGGAATTATTGCACTTTGAACTTGGTCCAGGAACATAACTCTGAAACTGCAAGAGGTGTTCATTCCTGTGTCCAAAACCTATTCGTGGAGCATGAGCCGCTTCTAACCGGCCTTTCTTGTTTGCCCAGCGCATAAAACGATATGATGTATCAACTGCTACTGGCAAAACGGCATTCTAAATTTTAACATGTATGTGTGTGAACTTGGTGAAGTAATGGATTATATAGAGGATATTTGTTTGTTGTGTAAGATGAAATTTTATTTCAATGAGTGAGTTTTAAAAACAGTTTTCTCAAGAGTGGCGTAGCCACAAGTGAGAATACTGTTTTTAAAGTTCACGAGATGAAATAAAATTACATCTTACACAACAAACAAACAAATTTTCTTTTTATTTTATGCTTAAAAACAAGTTAAAACGAAATTTCCTTAATGTTTACGTTAATATTAAAATCTGTTTTCCCCATTTAGAGCCTCAAAAAAGTCGAATTTCTCATTAAATACAAGAAGTCATGGGCTGAAAAATAAGTTCCACAATCAACTTTAAATGGTGGCGATAGTATTCATTTTATTAAAAAAATATGTCTGATCGCTTGTTTAAATAATAAAAAGCAAACAATTCTAGTAGGAGAAAAAGTCCAACCATCCATCCATATTTCTGTTACTGACTGCGGATTTATATTAGACCTGGCTATGTTAAATGTAAGCGGCCGCCATTTTTAAAGTTGTGTATTTCACTGGATGAAAATAATTGTGTTTGATTCAGAGGAATATCATTTGGATTTGTTAGTCATACACCTTTTTAAAAGAAAGAAAACTTATTTGAGGATTGTAACAGACAATAAATAAGTGTTGACAGATGTGTAAACATTCAAAAAAGTGGATAGGAAATTGGAGAACTCGGAAGCCTTACGAACGCTGGGTTGTTTACACATTCTTCGACTGAAAGCTGCCAATGCTTTTCAAGTTTTCATAAAGCATACGGCAGTTATTGCTCGTAGGATACTTAAATATTCCCAAATGTCATCAAGAGCAGTTTTGCATGTGGAAGGAATGTATTTTTCAGACTGTAAAAATGAAACAAAAAAATTTAGAGACGAAATTTGGTGATTGGTAACTTGAATGAATAGAAGTAACTTACTGTAAGTTTTCTTCTTTTTATTACTTGTGACATATAAGTTATTTATCAATTTCAGCTTTGCTTTTCTTTAAACAGCCTGACATTGTCGGAATAGTCAGCAAAAATAAAATTGAGGTGTCACATGGGGAAAATCTTAAAAAAGTAGTTTCGTCATTGAAAAGTGTGAAATTATATTTTGATAATTTTCACTGTGAAATTATCAAATATAATTTTCACGGTTAAATCAGTAATCCACTGAAAAGCATAAAATAAAAATGCTGATTTTTTTTCAGGGGATTTTGCAATTTTAATTGCGAGTGGAGTATCGTTTGTTCGTGCACTATTGCTGAATGTTCTTGTTTCCCTTACGGCTTTGATTGGGTTGTACGTGGGTTTGGCTATTTCCGATGACGAAATAGTAAAACAGTGGATCGTTGCCGTCGCAGCGGGATTATTCATATACATTTCACTTGTGGATATGGTAATACTTCTACTGTATTTCATAATAATTTCCCCGTATTTTTTTTATAGAATATAAAAGAATGTTATCTATATTCTATAATAGAACGTGTCATATAGTTCAGATAATACACGGAGATATTTACATTTCGGTAATAAATAATTCTGGTTTAAGCAGATAATTTGTTTAATTTACTTCTTTTCTTGTAAAGAAATGCAGAAAACTTACAAAGTTACATTTACATGGACATTGTGTATCTGTCACTTATTTCATGCATTCAGGGGATAAATTACACTACTTTTATTTGCAGATGCCGCAGTTGTTACAGAGATCCAAACACGAAAGAAGAGATTTTTTTCTAAACAATGTCGGAATACTGTTAGGTGCCGGAGCCATGCTTCTTCTTGCAGTATTTGAAGAAAAGATCAAAGTTTCATTGTGAACATTTCTATTTTATTTTACATAATACTTTATGTGATATTAGTGAACACTTTTTAGTTTGATCTGTAATCTTACATGATACATTAAGTTATCAAGAGCTATTTGCCAAAGACACTGTACATCGAAAAAATATACGCAAGAATAACCCCATGCTTCATACATATGCGTTATAGAGGTCTTACTAATGAATGACATGTCTACTATATTTTACACGCATTTTCATAAACTTCACAATATACCGGTGTTTATAGATTTAAAGTATATGATAGATCTAACAATTAATTATGTCTATGAAATTAATATGTTCATCTTCATTTTCTTGTATCAGTATGGTATCATTATGTACAGTAAGGAGAACAATTATAATTGATATTCGTACTCTATATCATTCCATTTACAAAACATATAATGTAATAACTAACACATATTTGTTATTTACCATATGTTGTAATCTACCATACTGCACGAAATTATATTTCTTGTTCTTTTGTGTGTTGGATATCATGTCGAAATATTTTTCCTGCTTAATAGAACCTTTTAATCATCATTAAATAAATACGGACTAGAACCTTTTCTTCTTTTTATTATACCAAGCAAGTTAAACTCTGGTTATCAAATTGAAAGGCGAACTAACGGCTTGGCGGGCGTGAACAAGTCTGTCTCTTATTACTTCATTTTTCAAGGGGTGTAAACCACATTTTATAGAAATATTATTGCTTTTCAGTGATCTGGAAAAACTTGTACGATAATGTGTATCCATCATTTGATAGAATTATGGCCTTTTTTGTATTTTCTGATCGCAAGATCAGTAAATACATAGCTAACATCCACGGTCTAACACAAAATTTCCTAACAGATCAAACAACGCAAAGTAGTTCTCACTCAAAACTGCTTAAAACCAGCAATTTAAAAGAAAGAATGATTTTTTAATGTAGGCATTTAACGAATTACAGTGCATTAAAAGTTTAGATTAGTCAATAGAAATATGAGGTTACAATCACAAATGTCGCGGATGAATATCTTTTTTACCCAATGAAAAATGTTCGGCTATTTCCGTAAAGCTTCGGATTATGGATTCAATGAAAATGCTATTTTTAGCTATGTCGATTACCGAATACTCCAGAGCGTAGTACACAAATAAATCTGACTGTCGAGTAGTGGAATATATACATGTCGGACTGTTTTGGCGAGAAGATTTTCGCTAAATTATTTTCATCAGTGAACAAAATACCTCGAAAATAATAAGGTTTACAAACACGAAATGGAAATTACAATGTATCCCGAAACAACCAATTTTCAATCACAACCTAAACTCAAACACATTCTTGATTCCGTGATGCTGATGCCATGTCTGACTAAAGTACATAAAGCCACTTGTCGTATTAACTTCAACACTTGCAGGAATGCCATACTTGATTAATTGTCAGATGTTATCAGAAAAACAATAAGAAATTGTTTGTTTTAAGCAGGGTCAAATTTCTATTTGAAAGACCCTGTTTTAAGTGACACAATATAAATTGCCCAACTTAAACTATATCAAAATAGTCACTTGTTTAACATAGTGATAACAAAATTTCCAAGCAAATTAGTATTGGGTTATACAGGGTTTTACCATTTACCTCAGTTTTAGGTGTATTTAAAACATTTATTTATATGATGTACCACTAAATATTCATCAGACTTTACAGAGGGGTCCTTATTAATAAAATCTTAAATTTTAATCAAGATTTTTTAAGTGATGATTGTTAAATAAATCTGTTGTATGCGATACCATCTGGCAGATCTAGACAAGTTTCCATATTTAGTAATAATATAAAAATGGGTAACGTAAAATGGCTGTAAAGATTGAATGCATTTATCATTTAGCACTCGAAATAGCGTACTAAAAAGTGACACCTTTAACTGCCCTTTATATACATATTAACAGTAGTCATACCAATGCATTGTATGTTATAACATTAAGTGTAAGTTTTTTTAAAATCTTGAAAAAAACTGTTGAAAATTGTTGAATGGACTGTTGTGAAATTTTCTACAATTCTTAATAGCCCTGATTTATCTTGAACAAATTCGTTAGTGGTAATAACCCTGGTGTTTGAATTTAGGTTGAAATATTCCTGGGAGTGACCCGAGTGGGTTCATATCATTTTTTTTAAAGAAATGTCAAGACATATTGAAAATGTACCAACCTTAAAATGAATAAATAGTGATAGATGCATTAATATCTTAAATAGATTTAAAGTATAATTTCCCCTTCAATTTCTTATTGACTAAAAACAACTTAACTGATTGAATATTGGTTGTTCCGGGATATTTGTTTTTATTCAAGCTGCATACGCATTACTTCACCGTGGTGCAGAGGTAGCGCGCTCGTTTAGGGTGTGAGAGGCCTAAGGTTCTAATCCTAGTCGAGGCAACTTTTTTTTGAAGTGTCTTTTTTAAGGAAGTAGCCACGATATGCAAGGATAAAGTGTGGCTGTCATAAAAAATGAAAAATGATTTTTTGATGCAACTCATGCAAACTTCCATATGATCAATCTCAAACTGTTATAGAAAAAAATCTAAACGCAGTCGCTGCGTAAGATGAAATATAGTATATAAAAATAAACTTATACAGGAAAATACATACAGATAGTCAGTATGATTTAGATTGCAAAGATCAGAAAATACCACAGAGCGTGCAGCCCTTTGATTTATATAGTTAAGATGTATAAAAATGTATATTCAGGGAAACATAATTGTGCGGAACTGAAACTGACATTGACTCATAAATGACCTGTTTTATTTTTCTTTTGCTAAAATTCTATTTAGGCTTCGCTTCACCCCTACACACAACAAGCTTTCGGACCAGACTTTGAAGAAGACAAACAATTAATATTTGAGTCGTGTCACGACAAAACCAACATAATGTGTTTGCGACCAGCATGGATCCAGACCAGCCTGCGCATCCGCGCAGTCTGATCAGGATCCATGTTGTTCGCTATCAGTTTCTCTACTTGTAATAGGGTTTGTAAGCGAACAGCATGGATCCTGATCAGACTGCGCAGATGTCTGGATCTATGCTGGTCGCAAACCCATTATGTTGGTTTTGTCATGACACGGCTCATTTGAACTTGACAAATGAATGACATTGATCACGAAGGTCAATTTTGAATTTTGATTGTTTTGTATTTTGTAAATGGCTCTGACTTCATTATAAAGGAACAATTCCAAAATTTTCATAAAAAATCTACATAAAACTAAAGGTAAACTTTAATATTTACTTTAAGGATTTAATATTTACTGCCACCAGTCATATAAATTATTAGAAGAATTTTCTCATTTCTTCATAAAAATGTATCAGTTATGTCAAAATGTTCCTTGATAAAGCATGCCTAAAATTTAGCTGATTGTTAGATACTATAGACCATGTCATACTAGAAATAAATGATATGACAAGTGCTTGCAAAAAGTATTAGTTTTGATTTAAATATTCATTGGCGGTGAAGGGCCGGGTGCACACAAGTTTTTGTGTTCGATGTGGAACAGATAAGATCGAATCAATATATTAGAAAACGGGATCGACACCTTTATTATCATTTAATGTAATCAGCGGATCACATCTTTGGAAAATCGAAATATTTGCTTACGCGGGATCAGTTATTGAAAATCTAGCCAAGTGCATCATAAAGTTATATCTAATTTAATCATGCGTTCGTTTCTATTCTATGATTTTGCAAATTTCAAATTGATTGCGATTTGTATTACTTTAAAAACATCTGAATGTCCCAGATAAAGTATTTATAGTAGTATTAAAAGAACAGGTAATAAGTGAAATGATTGTTCTGAGACCCTATTAGATAATGAATTAAATGAATAAAGTAAATAAACAAATAAAAAAATTTGAATACCTCCTGGAAAGAAACAGCTTAATGCACGAAGTTAAACCGAGCGTTTTAGATAGATTTAATTATGAGTTAATAAATACAGCAATTAAGTTAAAATGAATTGGTCTTTAATGGACCACCAAAGCGCAAAAGAATTAAACTTAAAAGTTGCTGGCATGTGTTAGATACATGCTGGGATATTTACATGTATTTCTATAGCCGATTATAAAATGTTCTAAATTCTGGAAACAAAGTGTTACTATTCTTCATATAAATGATCATTCTACATCACTTACAACTTTATTGACATTTGTTTTTTTTCAAGCAACATTGCATTTAAATATCAACTACAACTACAAATATTTTATTGCATTAAAACAACATATCAAAGCATATCAAAAAGATACATTGCTATTGCTAATATCAATATTTTGAATAAATTGCACTCAAAATTATTAACGACAATAATAAAATAATCATTCAATTAGAAATTTGATAATTCGTGTAAATGTTTCGAATTTGATCAACTCATTAATAATTCATGATTTCTGCCCAGAGCATAATCAAATTAATGTGCAGTCACTGGGCACATATTAGACATGCGAACATTTTGCAGTGACGCGGAGAGCGGTATTTTACTTTCATCCAAACGTGAAAAAATATTTCATGATTAAAGAAAAATAAAAAAATAACAATCAGGCACGTGTATAAGTGACTATAAGAGAATATCTAAAATGCAGCAGGTTTTAAGAATTGTTTTAATGACTTTGTTTGTGTCCGTTCATAACACGGAGCATTCATTTACCGCGGAGTTTACGATGTCAAATATTTGCAGTGGGTCAGCTACAGGAAGTCAGGAAAGTGTTCACAGACATGTAACAAGCAAATTTATATGTGGCAATTTATGTGCACGGGCAGGGAAATGTGTTTCATTCTCATATCTGAGCGAGAATTACACGTGCATTCTGAACAGTGAACATATTCAACATACAACTGACACTGCCACGTGTGGAACTAATATTCTCTATGGGAGTAAAGTGAGTAAACACATCATACGCTTTTGTGAAACTTTATTAAAATAAAAAATAATCTTTGTTACTTGTATACTTTTTTAGTAGGCTGTAGGGACTCAAATTTATAAGTGGACTTGGATGCCCCTCCATTTTTGCTTTTTCTGGAAAATTAGGACTCATATGCCCTCTCCGTTCTACATGTACATGTATTGGGGATCAGATCCCCTCAATTTCCGTTTTCAGAAGAGGACGACTTAGATGTATGTATTTGGGTGTAAAATCAGATCCCCTCAATTTCCGTTTTCAGAATAGGATTAGGAAAAGCCTCTTCGTTTTACATGTATTCGAAGAAAACTCGGATGCCCCATCATTTATACTTTACTAGAAGAGAAGGAATTAGTGGACCTCCGTTCTGAAAGTCTAATTTAGTTTTAAAAAGGGACTCGGAAACCTATCCATTTCTGAATTTATACAGTAGTAGTAAGCTAGGATGTCCCACCATTTTTGCTTCTGTTGTTCGAAAGAATTATGATATAAACGTTTTTTCTGCAGTTGGTCAGAAACAAAATAATTCCCTTCGTCGGAAGGGCGTATAGTAAATTCAGCAAATGGTTTCACACATACAAAACAACAAATATCAGATGCAGTGTTATTAAAAAAATATTGGTAAATAAACACGACTGAGTGGGGCA